TTCCTTTGTCATTGGTCTTTTTAGATTTACGTTTGCCTTTTTATTTTCTTTTTTTTTTTTTCATTTATTTCTCTTCTAAATGTTCTTTGTATGGCGAAACAGTCAAAGTTTCACTACAAATTTCAGATACGTTTTTGTTCGTCGCCATTACATCAAATGATCTAAAAACATAAATAATTGAAATACAAAATCATAGGGAATAGAACAAGCACAATATTTTGTTAAAATATACTTGTCAGGTACTAAGCAATCTGTTACTGTCCGGACTTAGGGGAATGACATAGAGTAGTATGATTTCGATTATAATAAAAATTATTAATAAATCCACCATAAAACAATATCAATGTAAAGCGTACTTACCAATGATTGAAACAAAAGCACTAAACACAATTTAAGCACTCTAAATGGTGGTTTATAACCTTGTAAATGACGCCTCCCACGCCGCGGGGGTATTTGCCCGTTGAGTTTGACATATTTTTAGAAGCGAGTACTAATAAGAACGTTATTTCATGTTTTGACGTGATTTGTCCGGTACTATGTGCTCTCCGGCACTAACGGGATTCCCCCTACATACTTTTCTCTATTGTCAATAGTTTCCGCAGCGTACGCGATATAAGGAATTTTCGGCGTTACTATTGCATACTTTAACATGGAAAAGAAGTAATTGTGAGATAACTGTAATAGTTAGATATATGGTATTGCAGTTTTTTTTTGTCTATATTGATGTCTTGTATAAAACTGTAGTATAACTTTGCTCTATTGTCAATAGTTTTCGCAGCGTACGCAATATAAGGATTCTTTTTGGTATTTGTTTCACACCTTGGGTTACATTTACGATGTTTTCATACGGATCCCTATTTTTTTTTTGCAAATATTTTATAGCCTATGTTCATCAGAGATAATGTAGGATTCTAATGGTGAAAGAATTTTTCAAATCGGCCCAGTAGATTCGGAGCCTATTCAATTCAAACAAAGAAACAAATTTTTCCTCTTTATAATATTATTATATATATATATATATATATATATATATATATATATATTGTGTAAGATAAATAATACTAATTGAAAGTCACTATTTGTTTGACCACGGGTTAGGAAAAACATAATTAAAATCATTATCATTCATCAAATCTTTAATATTATATTAACCCCTTTTCATACAAACTTAGTTTAATAAAGTTTTTTAACTCGAGCAGTTTAAATTTATGTACATTTTATTGAGTTCGAAATATAGTTCTTGGCAACCTCTCTTCGAGAAACACAGTTTACGACACCCCATCACGAGATGGAATTACGATCTGATGAGATAAACGTAGACTTAATAAATGCAGGAGGCTCCGTTTCGCTGATCTGAGGATTTTCATAAGTATGTAATATATAAATTATGGTCGTGTTGTACGTAATATATAGTTGAGTTCTTTATTTTATTTTAATGCAAGTATATAAATGAAAAACAAGAACACAAAGCGCCTAATGATAAGAATATTTTGTGGCATGTAGACACCTATGATACATAGCCTAAAAATATTCTCGAATGAGAATGAAAATACAAAAACGTTGCAACGCATTCGTGCCGTAGCCATAGCAGAGAACTGTATAAGAATGTGAATGAAGATTAATTCCTTTAAGAAAAAGAATATAGGCCAGTAAATACTATATATAAAAGATTATAGGTACATATCAAACATTCTTTATTTAGAATTATAACAGGATTCTAAATAATTAAAAAATATTATAAGAAAGCAGTTTGCTAATAAAATTGTTACAACAAGTTTCATTGTTCAGTGTATTGAAATTAGACTAGCAAAATAGTACATTACTATTATTATTACTTTGTTTACCTTTTGTAAAAGCTAAACAAATTTATAAATTATTTTTTCTTTCGAAGTCCAGGATATTCCTTGTTTCAATTACTCTACCCTATTGAATTTTAATAATTTCTAGTCACGTAATATAAAACCCTTACATATTTTAATGTTTTAAGCCCTAGATTACCGTTAATCTATACATCTGTAGTAGCAAAATAGCTGCCTTTTATTGAGCTCGGGGATTATTTGCATGCCATCAAAACATGAATAACCACTTTCAAATTTTTAAGACAGAGCTTAGGGCTAACATTTGGAATGGGTGGAATGATTGTGATGAAACTTTATGAACATTAGAGAGCAATGCGAGGAGTGATCTGTAAAATCAAAAAAATCATAAAATAAATGGTCGTTGATATCATAATAATATCATATAACAGAAATATAAATGATGACATACATTATATAATTAAATACCACCTAGACGAAGCCGGGGTTGGTTGCTAATATATAATATAAATATTAATTTATATGATAAATAGTTTATGATACGAAAGGACTTTGAGTACAATAACGTTTAACTCTTAAATAATTTAAAATTGTAGGTTACAGACCGCATACAGGTACTTCAGCGCCCACAACACAGGCACAGGGCTCTCATTTCTGAGAGGTTTATGGAGCAATTAGTCCGCCTGCACTACTCTGTACCGAGGTGACTTCACAACTCACGATATTCCACTTTTCCGTCGAGCATCTACACGTAGTATATTATTCCGGTGGGGATCGCGTACGGGCATGAGTTGCTCGCGTCTTGTGAAATTTAAGGCGAGCAGTTCATCTTTTTGTAAGATTTTGGGAAAAGATATTTAAAATATTTTATTTTTTATTAGGTTTGTTGAGGACCGCGATTTAGCATTCGTGTCTGCGTAATTATCCTTGTACAATTTATTAAGTAAACTGCCTTCACGTTTCAGGAGAATATCGAAGTATGGTGTTAAGGTTTTTTTTTGTTTTAGAAAAAGAAAGAAAGATATTATTTGAAATCCTCTTTCTCATTATTAAACATCTTTTACTGTTAGCATTTCCATTCACATTCAGTATATATTCACCGCGTTACCTTAAAGTGCTGATTATACGTCTTTTCATGATTTTATACTGAAGATCACGTCTAAATGAGCAGTGTTAATAGTTTGAAATGAATATGTTATGTATGTTAAACAAGTTTCCATTTTCACTAGAGTTTATATAAAAATACTTTTTAAATATTATTTTTTCCACCAAATTATACACTTTCGCTACATGAAACACTCTAGTTGTGGTTTTATTGTACAGAGAATATTGGTTAAATTAAACCACAATTGCACTGTGCACAGCTGTAAAAGACATGACTCGGCTTTTGCAAAAATTAAGTGGTCTCTGCTCGGTTTTACCGCGTCTATAGTTTTTAGTAAATTAAATTTTTCTATTCTATTTTAATTTAAAAATAAAATGTATTCTAGTAAGAGGTATATTCGCTAGATGCAGTGTTATTTAATACTATCACTGCATCACATATTAGTACATGAAGGGATTTTTTCCCCTTTGTAAGCATATTGAGGGCACGGAAGAGTGTAAAATATATCATAGTTAAAACTTACATGGAGAAGTAGTGCAGTAAGCTGAAATGCGTATATAATGTGTATTACAAATACCTTAAAATTCTGAGTATATAATCACTGCATTTAAATTCTTGTCAAAGAATTAATAAATCTTGCCACCAATTAATTACTAACAGATTGACTGATTGAGCTGTGAATTTTGTTGTTCTCAAATGTTCTTTTTAAATAATCTGTGTAAGTATAGACAGCAGTAGAAGGCAATAAAGCGTTTATTTTATATTTGTACATTATATATCTGTGTTTTCTCTTTTAATGTGCAGTTGAAAGTAAAATATACAAACCTTATATACAAACTTAAATTTTTTATGAAACACGGTCGAGTTTCGACTTCTAGGCTACCACTAGTTTGACCTTCCTATAAGCGCATCAATTTTTGTAACACCTATACCCGCGGAAGTTGTCACAGACCGAAGATTCAGAACCACGTTAAATATATTTTTTCTGAAAAAAACCTATAGAGATATTAATATTTATTTTAAGCAAAATACTTAATAAAACAAATAATACTATGAAATAATTTTATTTTCAATTATTTAACTGACTATCAATCTTCCAAAGAACAGCTTTTGAAATCAAGATATTTTTCTTAAGTAAAAAAAAAAATTTTTCTCAAATACGAAATAAAACTTTTACAAATTAAAAAAAAATTATATTAAGAAAATATAAATCACAGGGTGACTTAGTTAACAGCCTCGCCATAACAATCAGGACATACCTTATTATCATGTTCTAAACAAAATTATTTGTTGCTGGTGGTACAGTTGTATCGTGTTTTCGATTTTTTATTTTGATGGAACAATATTCACAGCAACCGATTTTATTATTGTTAGATGTTGCAGAAGACTTCGCACCATCTAACTGACAAGTATGTCAGTTAGATGGTGCTAAGTCCTGCTACTTTCATTAGGCTATAAAGATTATCATCAGCCACCTATTTGTACCTCGAGCAACGTTATATGTCTTACACAATTTGTGGACAGTGTCAACTCCTTCTTTGGTGCAGTTGTAGTCGGTTTTTTTTATAGTGTAGGGGATCTCCTACATTTCACACAAACATACAATCATACAGTCACACACACACGCACATTTACACTATACACTCGTCCTATCCGTTGGTCGACGTTTCGTAGATTCGATCCCGTGCGGCATCGTCGATACAACACCATATATGGTAATTTCCTGAGGCAGAGGTTGCGGGCTCGCGGTGGGAGAGCACCGCCCCCATGATCAGTCGACCAGTCGCTTACGGGCTTCGACGCGGAGAGATCATCTCATTGTATCATAGACGTTTTAATAATTGTTTACGTGTGCCTATCTTTCTTAATTTATTGTTACATTTTGAGTTTCTCTTTACCACTGTACTTCTTCCTTCTTGTTTAGAACTTACGTTGCATTCTCCTTCTGTATATTTATTTCGGTGTGACTTTGTACTCGTGTATATTAAATAGAGTGTGTGTTAGTACAGGACTACCTTTTATTTGTACACCTGGTAGATACATATAACCTCCACATTGGTGACCCCTCGTAGGACACAATGAGCAACGTGGAAAACAAAGACGTCGAAGATGAGAGAACATTTGAAGGTGACCTTACGCGGCGGCAGTGTTTGAATACCGTCCAAGCAGAAAATGTTATACCGCAAGAAATCATGAAAGTTGGAGTACGTGTTCCACCTTTTTGGCCTGACGAGCCCGAGATTTGGTTTGCGCAAGTGGAAGGTCAGTTCGCGATATCAGGAATTACTAGCGACTCGACCAAATTTAATTATGTTATAGGGCAACTAGACAACCAGTACTCAGTGGAAGTTAAGGACATAATTATTAACCCACCAGCGATGAATAAATACGACAAGCTAAAAAGTGAGTTAGTCAAAAGATTGAGTGCGTCCAAGGAAAAAAAGCTCACTCAGTTACTGATGCATGAGGAAATGGGGGATAGAAAGCCGTCTCAGTTCCTCAGACACCTCAAAGGCCTCGCTGGCGTTCAAGTCTCCGAAGAGTTCATGAAAACTATGTGGATTAGCCGTCTACCAATTAGTATCCAAACTTTTCTGGCAGGTCAACCGTTTGCTTCGATTGATAATCTAGCCGACATTGCTGACAGAATCCATGACATTGTGCCCTCAGCACCCCAGATAGCGTCCACAAGCCAAGCTCATTTCGGTGGAACGAATGACATTGATCTTGCCAAAGAAGTCATCGCTCTCAGAAAACAAGTCGAAGCGCTTACACTTACCCAAAGGAACAGCAGATCACGATCACGCTCTAGACGTATTGTGCGAAAACACCGTTCTACGTCAAGATCTCAGTCCAGCTATAATAAATATCCTACTTGCTGGTATCACTTCAAGTACGGCAACAAAGCAGACAAATGCGTCCGACCATGCGATTTCAAGTCGGAAAACCCCAAGGGCAATCGGTAATATCGACCGACGATTGCCCCACGTCTACTGGTCGCTTATTCATCACTGACCGCGCCTCGAAGACCCAGTTTTTGGTCGACACTGGAAGCGACCTCTGCGTCTTCCCACGGTCGCTGCTACGAGAACGTCGTGCCCGGACCACATATCAGCTAAGTGCAGCAAATGGTTCATGTATTAACACTTATGGTTATGTGTATTTAAATTTAGACTTTGGTTTACGTCGAATATTTTCGTGGCGTTTCGTAGTTGCAGATGTAACTAAGGCTATCATAGGTGTAGATTTTTTAAATCACTATAACATTATTGTAGATTGTCGAAATAAATGTATAGTTGATAATACCACGTGTGTAACAGCCACTGCCTCACGAGTTACATTTAATAATATTTTATCAATAAAGATCTTAACTGAGGAGACAAAATACCATAAAATATTGGCAGAATTTCCCGAGATCACTCGACCAGCAGGTATGCACCGCACCACACCACACAACACTGTACACCATATCCGCACGACACCAGGTCCACCAGTATCTTGCACACCACGTCGCCTCGCTCCAGATAGACTTAAAATTGCTCGACAGGAATTTCAATCTATGCTCGATAACGGAATAGTCAGACCATCGGAAAGCCCGTGGTCTTCACCACTACATTTAGTCCCTAAAAAAGATAATGGCTGGCGTCCCTGCGGAGACTATAGAATGTTGAATGCCCGTACTATACCCGATAGGTATCCAATTAGGCATATTCAGGACTTCGCACACAGTATTTCAGGCTGTACCATCTTTAGTACACTTGACCTTGTCAGGGCCTATAACCAAATACCGGTCCATCCTGACGACATTCCAAAAACCGCAGTAACAACACCTTTCGGCCTGTTTGAATTTGCTTTCATGAATTACGGTTTGAAAAACGCGAGCCAAACGTTCCAGAGGTTCGTAGACGAAATGACTCGGGAGTTAGACTTTTGTTATTGCTACTTAGATGATTTTCTAATATTTTCAAAGGATGAGGCTCAACATGAAGTACATTTACGTAAAATATTTAGCATACTTAAGGGATATGGCATGTTAATAAACACGTCTAAGTGCGTTTTCGGTGCCCGAGAAATATCTTTTTTAGGATATAGCATCTCGGCGTCAGGCACCAAACCACTTGACTCGAAAATCGAAGCCATTAAAAAATTTCCATTGCCTACTGACGTACGTCAGCTACGACGTTTCTTAGGCATGATCAATTTTTACAGGCGCTTCTTGCCACGTATGGCAGAAAAGCAAGCGCCACTTAACAATTTATTAAAAGGCGTGTTGAAAAATAAACAGCCAATCATTTTATCAGGCGAATCTTTAAAGGCTTTCGAAGCCTGCAAAGAAAGTCTTTCTGACGCTGCATTGATAGCGCATCCCGATTGCCAGGCAAAACTCGCTCTTGTCACAGACGCTTCGGACAAGGCAATAGGAGCTGTATTACAACAGCTGAAAGACGACGCGTGGCAGCCCTTAGCTTTTTTCTCACGCAAACTTAGCACGTCTCAAAAAAAATATTCACCTTATGACAGGGAGCTTCTGGCAATATATGAGGCAATCAAATATTTTCGCCACATGCTGGAAGCTAGAAATTTTATAGTGTACACTGACCATAAGCCGATCAGTTTCGCATTTCACGAACGAAAAAGAAACTGTTCTCCTAGGCAGTACAGACACTTGGATTATATATCTCAATTCACCACAGACATCCGACACATTTCTGGCAAGGACAATGTTGTTGCCGACACTTTGTCCCGGGTTGAAGTTTTGGAAGCTCCGATAGACCTCGAAGCTTTAGCAAAAAGTCAGGTTTCTGATCCCGAGTTAGAAAAGCTTATCCGAGAAGGCTCTTCACTGCGTCTTGAAAAATTAACCATACCTGGAAGCCGTATTTCATTATACTGTGATGTCAGTACACCGACTTCCAGGCCGTTCGTGACAAAGTTTTTTCGGAAGCAAGTATTTGATAGCTTACATTCCTTAAGTCACCCAGGCGCAAATGCTACTGCTAAATTAGTATCCGAGAGATTTGTTTGGCCGAACGTTAGGAAGAACTGTCGTGAATGGGCTAAAAGTTGCTTATCATGCCAACGATCCAAAGTAAGTCGACATGTTACAACCCCACTTGGTACATTTAAGCTACCTCGTGCACGTTTTAAACAGATCCATATAGATTTAGTCGGACCGTTACCACTATCGGAGGGCTACCGCTATTGTTTAACGTGTGTCGATCGTTTTACACGTTGGCCCGAAGTCGTCCCAATTACCAACATAACAGCAGAAACAGTCGCTAAGGCATTGCTGTCTTGTTGGATATCTTGATTCGGTTGCCCAACAGAAATAGTTACAGATCGCGGACGTCAGTTTGAGTCTGCGCTATTTCAACACCTTGCAAGAATAGCGGGATTTCAACACCGACGAACAACTGCTTACCACCCCGCATGTAACGGTCTAGTGGAGCGTTTTCATAGGCAACTGAAGGCGTCCATAATGTGCCACGCACGAGATAAGTGGACCGAGTCATTACCGTGGATATTGTTGGGCATACGCAGTTCGTTTAAGGAAGACTTACAGGCGTCTTCCGCCGAATTACTTTATGGCGAACCATTAAGGCTGCCTGGTGAATTCTTTGAGCCTCAAGACAACAGCGCAGCGGATATGACTGAGTTCATATCCCGCTTACGCAGTTTCGCACAAAAATTACACCCAGTGCCAGCATCTCGCCATAATAGTAATAAAGTTTTTATTTTTAAAGATCTCGCTAACAGTGAACACGTCTTCCTACGGGAGGATGCATCTCGTGGATCCCTCCAGCCCGCGTATAGTGGACCACACAAAGTGTTGGCTAGGTCAGACAAAACCTTCAATATATTAATTAATGGTAAATCATCCACAGTGTCTGTTGATCGACTTAAACCAGCCTATATATTGTGTGAAGCCCCAAATCAAGATCATGTACAAAACTATAATTTGAATGAATATATAACTCGTTCAGGACGTAGAGTGAGATTCACCGATTTTTATTGCCCTTAACCAGGTCTCTGGAGGGGGGTGATGTAGGGGATCTCCTACATTTCACACAAACATACAATCATACAGTCACACACACACGCACATTTACACTATACACTCGTCCTATCCGTTGGTCGACGTTTCGTAGATTCGATCCCGTGCGGCATCGTCGATACAACACCATATATGGTAATTTCCTGAGGCAGAGGTTGCGGGCTCGCGGTGGGAGAGCACCGCCCCCATGATCAGTCGACCAGTCGCTTACGGGCTTCGACGCGGAGAGATCATCTCATTGTATCATAGACGTTTTAATAATTGTTTACGTGTGCCTATCTTTCTTAATTTATTGTTACATTTTGAGTTTCTCTTTACCACTGTACTTCTTCCTTCTTGTTTAGAACTTACATTGCATTCTCCTTCTGTATATTTATTTCGGTGTGACTTTGTACTCGTGTATATTAAATAGAGTGTGTGTTAGTACAGGACTACCTTTTATTTGTACACCTGGTAGATACATATAACCTCCACAATAGGATAAGGATGACAAGCGAGCACACAGTCCACCTGATGGTAAGTGGTTGCTGCGGTCCATAGACATCTACATCTATCTTCCATTACAAATCAAAATGCAGATACGTTGTCAACCTTGAGGACTAACATTGAATGCCTTGTTTCCAGTTAAAATATTCTCTGGTTCTCTACACTTACCATATTAAACACAGCAGCATTGAGCTGCTATTTCACGCTGGTATTCTGTGAGAGCGTGGTCCTTCCCCGGTCGAGCCGACCTCTAACACGTAAAAAAACGGTTTACCAGTTTTCTCGTCAATTTCAGCACCATCATGCATGCTAAAAACAAGAGGCACATATTTTTTCTTTTTAAGCACTTTAAATAACCCTCTTATTGGAGCTAGTTTATCTACAGCAGTCCTTTGTGCTCGCGTATTTATTTCATCAAATTTGAGACAACGCATCAATAAATAGAATCAATTTCAACTCTTAGTAAATCAAAATATCTCCAGGGATTATTTTATCTGTCTTAGAAACAGTCCCTTTCTCTTGAAAATTCAATTTTATTCGATTGATTTTTTCATTAGTGCACTTTATGATCTTATTTATAACACTATGCTCACAAATATTACCTGGTTCCTTTAAGTTTTTGGCTTCATGTCTAGGTTCTGGAATTTGAGTGAATATGTTTCGAGCACGTCGTCTTACTTGATTTGAGGCCGGATTTTTTTTCATCTTGTCCAACCAACCTTTCCAAGGTAAAATTCTCTGGACGTTTGATGTTCGTCCTCATCTGACTCTTCGTTACCTTCTTCGTCATTGTCTAGCTCGGTATAATACCTTTCTTCTTGGACTTGGACAGAATCTTCCACTTCTCTGTCATATCCATCTTTGTAGTCAGAGTCAGAATTCTCTTCGTCCAACAGTTGAGATTTGCTCGTCATCCGTCTTGTAGCAAAGTTAAATCTATAAAATAATAAAACTCGTTAAATCATTTATAACCATATAGCAAATAACACAAAAGAAGCAATAAACACATAATTTAATACTTTCATAAAAATTGTACCTATACCCGCGCCGGTCTCACAGACCAATTGGCGCTAAATATACTAACAGGTGTGTCTCGCACAAACGCGCGATTCTTACTGAAATTAAGTAAACAACAAATCCGGCAGCTAGCGAAAGACTCGACTTGTCAGCGTTCTCAGAAAAAGAAATAAATGTATAAAAGTGTTTCGTTGGTCCCACAGACCAACGCGGGGGTCAACGAAGGTTAAGTAATGAGAAAATTTGTATTAATTCTATCTCGAGTACAATTCGTACTCCTATTATTATGAGTCCAATATTACCATTCGTAAAATACCATCTGTATCACATAAATTATCCCGACATGTTGTCACTATATATTGTCATAGTATCATTATAGGTGATTTTAGTACTTGTCTTTTAAAAACCAACGCCAGATCAATAAAACTAAAATCTATTATCGAAGCAGCAAATTTAAAACTTCTTCCTACTTCTGCCACACACTTATTCCCGAACTGTTCTCTTTCTCTTCTCGACATAATGTTAGTGTCTTCACTTGACCTGTTCATAAATTCGGGCAATATGCTGCTGATTCTTTTTCTTATCGTGACCTTTTATACTTGTCTTACAAAATCCGCCCCCCTAAAGCTAAGTGAAAGATACTACTTCAGCGTAACTTTTGTGACTTGGAATTGAAGCAGCTTTTAAATTACGCTCTAAAGATTGATTGGAGTTTAGTCGTCAATGCGTCTACTGTTGATGAACAGGTAGCTTTGTTCAACTCTTTGCTAATTCAGCTTTATGACATTCATGCCCCTGGTCGTCCAGTACGTGTTGAGCATCCTCCCTATCCTTGGCTGACTGATGATAAAAAAAATCATCCACATTAAAAATTGCCGAAGCAAAATACAAGTCAGTTCCTTACGACTTGAATCGAGAGAAGTATAGATTAGTACGGAATCGTTGCAACAATCTGTGTAGAAAAGCATAACGATGCCATATTCATGAATCAGTACAAGATCCTGACCCTGCTAAGGTCTGGAAATTTCTTAAGTCTTAAGGAGTTTGGAAATTACAACAAAATTTCACCCACCATAACTTAGATCTCAATCAACTTACGAGTAATTTGCATCTCTCATCTTCGTCTTGCATTACCGATAAACCAAAACCACCTCTTCTTTTAATTTTAGTCAATTTAACAGTTGTGGTGTTAAGGGAGCCATAATGTAAGGGAGTCATAATGTCATCAGGTAGTGACTGCATTAATCGAAAAATGGTCATCCCTCTTATTGATCTACTTTCGCCTGTGATCACTTCCATCCTGAAGAATTTACTGAATTCTTCTTTTTACCCTTCAGCTTGGAAAGATGCATTTGTAGTTACTCTTCCGAAAAAGTCGAATCCCTCTAGTTTTTCTGATTATAGGCCTATCTCTATCTTGCCTTTTCTTTCCAAAGTTCGTGAACGTCTTGTGGACAAACAATTAAGCACCTATCTTTTAAAAGATAATCTTTTAAATCCTTTGCAATCCGGTTTCCGTCCTGGCCATAGTATGGCTACTATACTTTTACAAATCACTGATGATATTCGGTATGGTATGGAGAAACAAAAGCTTAGCATTCTAATAAAATCTACTGTATTAAATTCATTACTAAAATCAAGTAACGTATACTTGATATTAGTAATGCATTTAATTATATATAATACGGTAGATTTTGATATCTTGTTGAGCATCCTGCGCTTTCTCAACATATCTTCAAGTGTAGTTGACTCGTTTCGAAGTTACTTGTTTGGTCGCCGATAGGGCATTCAGTTGCAATATGTTTTTTCCACCTGGACTACCACAGCGGCTGGCGTATCACAAGGTGGCGTGTTGTCTCCTCTCCTGTTTGCAATTTTCATTAACTCTATAAGTCATAATTTGTCCTCTTACTACCACTTGTATGCTGATGATCCCAAATCTATATTCAGTCCTCTCGTGAAGATTTGTCTAAAGCAGTTGACACTATTAACGCTGATCTGACTTGAATTACAAACTGGAGTAAACGTTAAGGTTTAACGATTAAACCTAAGAAAACTCAGGCCATTGTCATCGGTAGTTCTAGATTAATTGGAAAAAATGACTGGTCTTCCCTACCCCCTATTTTAGTAGACCGCACTCAAATCTCTTACAGTAACAAGGTTAAAAACCGTGGTTTGTATCTTGACTCTTATATGTCTTGGTCCTCACAGGTTAATGAAGTTAGTAGAAAAATGTTTGCTGCTTTAAGATCTTTACGTAGATTACGTAATTTTCTTCCCACAGTAACTAAGGTTACGCTCGCCCAGTCTCTACTTCTGCCTATCTTTGACTATGCTGATATTTGTTATCTTGAGATTACCAAGGAGCTTAAACGCATTCAAAATTTATGTATTAGGTTAATTATATTTGGGATTTGCAAATATGATCATATCTCTGAATTTCGCAAAAAGCTCCAATGGCTCGCGATCCGCTTTCGCAGGAATACTCACATTCTCTCAGCTTTGTATGGCGTGCCGTTTAATCCTTCCACTCCTCATTATCAAAAAGACCGTTTCCAGTATCTTTCCCTTGCCCATAATTGGTTCCTTCGATCCTCTGTCAATCTTTCTCTCTCTACTCCTTTGCACTCTTCCTCCTTTTTTAAGAAATCCTTTACTGTAACTGCTGTACGTTTGCGGAACTCTTTGCCTCTCCACATTCGTCGTGCTCAATCTTTTCATTCTTTCAAAAGTCTTGTTAAATCCTATTACTT